ATTGTTCATCAACTCCAACACCCAGCAAACTACTCTTAAGAAAGTTAATTTTTAGACCTTGTATAAACTACAAACCAAGCCGATGGGTTGATATTCAGATCTAGCACTTGAGTTGGTAATTTTGGGATTAAAGTGACAAAAGAATTATTAGCTCCCTCATCCAAAGTACCATCTTCAAAAAGTTTTACAAATAGAGCATCATTTCCTCTTTCACCATTAATCACTTATTTTTTAAGATGATGATGTTATAGCCATCAAGGCCGAGAGCTTTCTTCCCATCACAAATGCACAAGGTTTCCCAACCTCTTCCTCTGACAACCTTTTCTCTAAAAAAATAACAACCTTCCACTTAGTTTCTCGAACTGACAATCAAACTCTTTCAACGCCAATACCTTTTTTTTTTCTTATAAATTTTCACAAAAGTATGTTGCCACTCTTTCTTTAATTCCCACTAGTTCACACAATCTTTTATTCTTTATCCCTTATGGATAGTGTATTATACTACAACATACACTTGATGAAATCAACCTATATAAGTGTGAAGTGGGGCCGCTCCTTTGAGAATTGTGACAAATTCTTTACAACACTTATAAATAACCAAGCATGCACATGGCCTATTCCCGTAAAACTGCGTTAAACAGTAGAAATTGTGGGGTGTAATGTGATTGATAAAAACTATATTTCACATAAAGAATTTTGGTTCATATAAGTTACAAACTTCACCAAAATTCTGTGACTTATGTTTCATTCCTTCTAGGTGTGGTTCATAACTTACAAAGCTCCGGTCACGATGCATTACACTTAAATGAAATTTGACTCAGCAAAACTTCTTATAAAACCTTACGAAATATGTGAAAAATTGTTTGAATATAGGGTATTTCATAAAGTTTAAACATCCCGCATTGTTAAGATACAAGAAGGTGAATGCTTTATACATGAAAACCCACAATGGGCTTATTGCAAGCAAGAAAAACAGAGTGGGTTTGCGCATACACAAGATTGGGCCAGACTTTGAGAAATTTTATATTTTCACTCCTTACGCGTGAATATACACGTGGGCTATGCCTAAGAGAATTTTTGTACCTTGACTTTATTTTTTTTTCCTTTAAGCTTTTTCAGCCTTTGATTAAATCAGACTCAAACTCTACCATGCTTACCTAGCTCTATTGGTTTTGCTCCAACATTTATCTAACTAGGTACTCAACATATATCTGACTCAATATACATGCTGATCAAGTTTTTCTCTAACTCCTTGAGGCTTTTTTTCAACTCTTTGATCTGGTGCAACATTCACCTTATTTGGTGCAACATTCACTTCATTTCTTACTTACAAATACAACCTTACACCCTCACTCACAACACACACAAAAGCCTTTCATCTTCTTTTAAGTCTTCTCTGCTTATTTTCTCTACTTCCTTCATTTCCTAGCTAGGTTCTTTCTTTTTGCTGTTCCTATCATCTTTTATTAATTTGTGCAAACTATAAGGAATGGTCTGTTGAATCTTGGAGAATAACTGTTACAATCCTTTTGCATCGAGTTTTATACTCCTAACGGATGAAAATTATCCTTAAGGATAGTGATACCAAGTATCAGACTTCTTACTGCTTTTACTTGTTTTATTTTATATTCTTTTATTTCCCATTAATTTTTTTAACATTCTTAAGGATAATGGATTCCCATGTTGATAATGTTGCTGCCACTATTCCTAATGCTCCCTCTATCCTTACTACCACCACCACTGTTAATGGTTCCGCCATGGCTCCCACTACGTTGACCGTTCCTCTTATGCCTTCGTTTTCATATGCCAAACCATTTCAAAATATTTTCAAAATAAAAGTCTTTAATGGCAGAAACTTCAAAAGGTGGTAAGAAAGGATTTTTCAATCCTTGATGTTCATGGGGTGGCTTTTGCGCTAATTGATTCCAAGCCAAATGATGTCAAGATGCTGAAACCATGGATGCACGTAAATAAAGTATGTAGGCATACAATCATTAGCACACTTTCTAATGACTTGTTTGATGTATACAATCTCTACAAAGAAGCAAAGCAAATATGGGAGTCAATGATAGCTACATACACTGCTGAAGATGTTAGGAAAGATAAGTTCGTGATTGGCAACTTCTATCGCTAGAAGGTGACAGATGACGACGACATCAAGAGTTAGATCAATGAATACCATAAGCTGGTGGATGATTTGAAGGCTGAAAAAATCAACTTGTAAGAAGAGTTCATTATTGGATTATTGATTGAGAAGCCGCCAAAATCCTGGAATGGATACAAGCAACAATTGAAGCACAAGAAAATGCAGTTGCCACTTGCAGACTTGATTGTGCGCATCATCATTGAAGACATAACCCGGAGGGAGATTAAAGCCTCCAAAGCTAAGGAAGTTGCAACTAAAGCCAATCTAGTACAAGGCAGAACCCAACGTCAATAAAGGTACCCCTACAAACTTGATCATAAACCCAAAGCTCCTCATCCCATGTTCAAAAAGAAGGTTTCTCTGCTTCCTTCCTTTCCTAGGTGGATTCTTTCTTTCTGCTATTCTTGTCATCCTTTATTAATTTATGCAAACTATAAGGAAGGATCTATTGAATCTTGAAAGATAACCACTAAAGTCCTTTTACACCAAGTTTTATACTCCAAATAAGCAAAAATTATCTTTAAGGACAGTGATACCACACCTCAGACTTCTTACTGTTTTTACTTGTTTTAATTTATATTCCTGTCTTTCCCATTAATTTTTCTAACAATCATTATCACCAAAACACCAACACCATATACTAAAAATTCAATATTTAATCATTATCCCTTGCTTCCTCTAAACTACACTTTGTATTTTACTTAATTAACTAAAAATTTAGTACTTAATTAAGAAGATAAAAAAAAAGGTTTCTCATTTACTGACAAAAAAAAAGTTATGCATATTTTATGTACATGTTTTAAAATAATTGGAAAGCCCTCTAGTTGGGAGAGGTTGGTACATCTGATCCTCCTTTTGGCGACCCAATTAATGGGATACTGTAACCAACCATATAGTTTCAATTCCCTCATCATCATCTTTTTATGACTTGAAATTTCTGGTTTAAAACCAACATTTGTACACAAGAATATTTGAAGGATATCTTGAAGAATGGTGGTCACTCAGTTTTCTCCATCGATTTGATGCCATAGGCTTGAAGAATGTCCAATGCTGCCACAACCAATATAATTAATATCTCAAGCAAAAGTAATGGACCAAAGCAAGAAACTATCTGCATGTATGGTGAAACTTCAATTCTGTCAAAGAATGGGGCTAATGAAAACTTAATTAGAAGGTCGCATCATAAATTTAAAACCTATGAATTTCAATATTTAAAGGAGTTAGTGTAGACTGAATCACTTATACTTAATTAAATTAAATTAAACTATGATATTTTATATATATATATATATTTGCATTTTTTAATTATTTGAGAGTAATTATGACTTTGTATTTGCAAAAAACTGCTCACTAATGGTAATGAACAATCAAGGGGTTAACAATGCATTTTGAAATAAGAGGGGTTAAAGTGTATTTGAAGGGTTATTTTATAGTTTACCCAATGTTAATATCGCATTTAGCTGCCGGATGATTTGAAAGACCAGATGTGAAGCAAAAGAAGGAAGGTGGCAGTTCATTTATGATTTTAAGTATCAAACGCGGTGAAAGAGGCAATCCATGAATCTACTACCGCAGTGGCTGTTAATGCTGAAAGAAAAGGAAAGAAGAAGTTGTCAATACAGCAGATAGAGGAAGTGTACGTGGTCCTGCCCCGAAGAAGGTTGGTTCAATCAAGTCCAAGTATCAATTGGGATAGGAATGACAAAGGCGAGAGAATGCAAGTGCACGTGGACTCAGCACTCGCTGCTGAAGGAAAAGCTACTGCCAAGATGATTCAGAAGGAGATAATAATGGAGACAGATTCAGAGTTGGCAAAGAGAAAGACAAGTCAGCTTGGCATGCAGCTGGGTAGCAACCCAGTCTAAAGGGGGATGTGCGCCAACTGGTTGGCTTAGACAGCCAGCATGCTCTTTGGTGTTGAGGATTAGAGACTTCCTATGTAACGGTTTTGTCTTATATGATCTGTTGGTGTTGTAAGCTAGTTAATTTCATTAGACATTGAAGTTCCAATAATATCTCTTAATTTGCTTTGGCCAAAAATCAACCTTGGAATTAATATACTAGTTATAATAATATGATATCCAGCATGATCGTTGCAAAACTAACTTTAAATTGTTGTTCAACTCAGCTAACATCTGATTAATTTTATAAGTTGTTTCAAGGTATAAAAGGTGTATTAAAAATAGAAATCCTTCTTCTTCTTTTTCTTTTTCTTATGATCGTAAAACTAATTGCTAAATTATGAGTAATGATAATTAAGCAAATGGAGGGAGCTAACTAACTTTGTCTATGCCATCAATGGCCTAATAACTAACTTGACATTTAGTTTTGGCTTGGTACAATCAAACCATTGTATGCTTTTCTGTCTGATTTTTATACTTTAACTTTTGCTACGTTCATTCGTATTACACGCAAATGATTAATATTTAAATGTAATAATTATAATTTTGAAAATAATAAAATTTGTAGATCACGATTTAAAACATGAAATATATGTGAGTAAAATAAAGATTAATTTTATTAAAAAAAATACTGAAACTTAATAAACTTTATGTCCAAAATTAAAAACAATATAACTAATTAATATTTAATGAAACAAATTTTGAGATCATAAAACCTACCAATAATTACTTTTATTCATATATTTAGAAAATAGTGGAAGTGAAAATTTAAACATTTATTAAAACATACCATTAATTAACTATATAAAAGTTATATAGTAATTTATGCACCATATAAATAATAATTAATTATAAATAATGGTAAAAACACATTTAATTCCCTATATCACTTATAAAGAATTAAACAATTATAAATCATAATTTTCATACCATGAATCAAAATGACCTATAAATGTAATTAAATTCAATTAGTAATTGTGTGAGGTATGTGTTCTATAATTGACATTTGATTGACTTATAAGTTGAGATTACAATAAAAAACAAAAAACATCTACATTGTGTTTTTTATCGACTGAGACCAGTATGATGGCTCCAAGAAAGTCACATACAGGGTAAGACTCTAATTAAGTTGATTGTATTTACAAAGTTTTCAGCATCCTTAATTACCTTAGAGAAATCCTTGGTCACCCTCCCCGGTTAGCTCCTCATAGCTGTTCTTCTCAACAAGCATCTGACCAAGTGGAACGCAACCGTAAAGGTATTTACGCTCTCCTTTGTAATTAAAATGATTGATTCTATGAAAGTTTAAAGTTCAAATTACCTGTGATTGCGATAAAACCACAATGTCTATGTAGATGTGAATATTGGACCTGGGGAGGTTGATTTGAAGAAAATGTGGTTGTTGCCACCATAGAGGTACAAGATAAAGTTAAGGATGACCATGTTCTTCCCCCTTAATCACAAATCCAAGTAAAACAAGGCACACCTTCAGCTGTAAATATTCCTTTCTAATTATCTAATCGATTGATCATTGATGTAAGGCATATGTAACATTGTTTCTATTTTAGTTAGCTAAATGGTTTTTGTTGTCTGAAAGCTTGTGACAAAGAGGTTCTTGAATGAAAATAAAGAGGAAAAAGAAGCGCCACTATTATAAATACGGACGTTACCGTTGCCAGTTGACCTCGCCAAAATGTTGAAGCTCCTAAGCCCTTTTTAACTTTTTCTTGCTGATTTCTTGGCAACATCAGGCACTATAATCTCTTGGCATCGAACAATCCCAGCTGCTCCTCCATAGCACAGCCACCTCTCACTACCCTTGTTCATGTTCCATCTCACTCTATGCATCGCCACAATCTTGGGAGGAAATACTTCTATTTCATACCCAGCTTCCTCTTTCTGTGTATTTCTCGGTTCATTAATCCTGACTGCCAATGCTTGATCGTCACCTGCTTTCTTCGTCCTGTCACTCTTTGATTTTTGTTTTATTTTGCCTTTAAGAGCTGCCAAGGTTAAGGTTTCCTCAGATTCAGATTCCACTCCACGATCATTGCCATAACAAAGGGCTGCAACAGATTTAAGAATTTGCTCGCTGTTACCAAAGAAAAATAACAAAGAAAAGTAGTCAAATAACAATATCTGAGTGTCAAGCATACCGAAAGTTCTTTTGTCAGGAGTTGGAACTTTTGCCTTCTTATCCTTTGCATTTTTAGCCTGATTTGACTCAGTTAAGAAGGCCCGCATGGATCTTGGGCCCTCTCCATAATCATTAGTCTGCTTCTTCAACGTCAAAGGAATATCTGGTAATGGAGTGTTAACTACTATAGCAGATTCCTCCTCAGTCAAGGATCCACAGACAAAATGTGGGGCTCGATTTCGTGAAAAATCTTTGTCCACTGCTTTCGATGTAAGCTGCTTATAAAAAACAATACCATCAGTTGAGGCTAAAGCTCAGAAGCAGCTTTTCAATATATGATGAATTGCTTTTGAATTTCATTTTGAAGGAAATTTCAAACAGTGGTGTCACAGAATTAATAATATGCAGCATCAATGAATGGACTTGAATAGTTTTACACTGCCAGTTGACCAACAACTAAGGGCTAACTGCTAAGGCTAAGGCTCTGTTTCAATCTAAAATACTAGGAGGAAATGGAAGTAGACATGTAATGTTAGGCAACAAAAAAGACTTTATAATCTGTCATTCTCCAAGAGGAATTGTCATTGGAGGCTAGGAAAAGAAAAGAAAATTTTATTTTTTGAACAGAAGAAAAAAGTGTTGGATCATCTATTTTTGAGTAATAATTTAAGCAAGCAAAGATTATACTAAGGTCCTGACAGACTTTGGGCCAAATCTCGTGTCATTGTCATCAAAAGTGCTAACAGAAACTCATGTTTTTTTACTAGTGAGGCTTACATTTGGCATTGAGAGTTGGAAATTAATCAACTTAAAAAGACAATAAAAGAATTACATTCAGGATTGCAATTAATCATGCATAAACCAGAATAAAAATGGGAAGGAAGAAAAAGGATAACAAGCATTGTAGATAAAGCTAAACCAACTCACCTGAAAGCGGGTAACATTACCATCTGCACCGCAATATGCAACCATGCCTAACATTTAAATTCACCAGTCAATGGATATTTGGAAATGACAAAGAAAAAACTAAAGCTGTTCATGATCCCACTTTAATTGTCAAAAAAATTTGTTAGTGCCTACAAACATGTAATAACTTAGGTAACATGCAAAGACACAAAATATGAAGAGAATTTATGTCCATATGATGGAATTAAATGTTGCAGCAAAAGTCATAGACCAACAACTAAGATCTCACAAACAAAGCAAAAACAGTTTGTCAATGTAGAACAGTTTTATGCGAGAAACAACTTGATCTAAAGAATGTAAAACCTAAGATACACAGCATCTACCTTGTAGGAGCAAAATTACATTCTACTAAGCCTACACAGTTTTAAACACATTTTTAGTCAGAGTTAGTTATACATTCGTTGACCTATCTTTTACAGGATCTTTTGTTTCCATATCATGTTCTTTAAAAAGTTTTCAGTTTTCTGTACATCAAGATTTCATTTTTCTTTTACAAAAACAAACTAAATTTTAGTTATGGACTAACATATTAGGTCCCCAGCAGTTTTAATAATGAAGAAAAAAAGTTAATTGTAATTTCGCATGCACCCTAGTGTGTGCTTGGCTACTGCTCCCGTGAAAAGACAGCCTTAATAATGCAAGAAAACCAATCCCTAGAATACCTGTTAATCGTGACACTTGTACATTCCAGATAGCAAATGATGAACAATTATAAAGGTGCAGTCCTTGTTGCTTGGTCCCAGTGAAAGGTTTTCCAGTGACAGGTACATCACATGCTGCCTGAATTAAGCTGAGCATTTTCATTGTTCCATCATCGAAGGATAGAATAACACATCTAAAAACATAAAAAGTTTCTTCAATTCTAGTTGAAGAGAAGATCACCAATAAATAAATAAATAAGAAAGACCATCAGGTATAATATACCTTGGTTCTGGCAGCCAATCCAAGCTATATATGAACTTTGGTGCTGGATGGACATCCCACAAGGGAAGGAATGGATCACTGCAAACAATCATCAAACTATAGCTCTTAAGTGACATATAATCATGCTACCACAGCAACTTGAACAGGTTAAATCGTTCCACACACACACACATACACCAAGAGAACACATTTTCAGAGCTTTTAGTTGAAAGGAAACACATGACTCTGGATTCCTCTCCTTAAACATCAGTAGAAACCTATTTTACAATTAACATGCAATACATTTGCAAGCATGTTCTCCATGAAATCCTACAGAATCAGAATCCTTTAGAAGTACAAAGTTCAAATTTTCCATGCTCCAAAACTTATATCGGGAAATAGTAAATCACTCTGATGCGAACTGAACTTAAAATCTTGAATATGGAAAAAAATTGCAATTTCCCTTCAAACAAGGAAAAGTAAGTACACATAAAGATCGAATTAAGCCTTAAATTGATATGTACCATCACTTCATCTTACATGCTAATTGCAGCAACTAGATCAGCATAAAATACAATGCACATGCCGATACATATATCATCTACTCAAGGGTAGTGACAATAGTTGATATTGTATCTAAATTGTAGGGATTTTATTCTGTGGTTTACAACTGAAGGTGAAATGAGTTAGGGGAAAAATAAAAGAGAATCAAGCCAACTCCATTCATTTTTTTTTTATTAGGGAAGGGGGGCAAAGAGATCATGCACCAACTATTGAGCCAAATGCTCGAATAATGATAGAAATAGAAATTAATTCGAATTTTCAGACAATAAAAAAGCTCTATCTTTAGCTGAAGCTTAAATTAATCTGTAGCTTCATTAGATCATAGCAGTTTATGGACCTTCAATAGAACCATGAAGAAAATAAATACATTACAGTAAATTAGAAGGGTAAACATTAAAGTGACAGTGTAAACTACCAATGCTATGTACAACATGCCATCACTTAGAAGATTCAGAAAGTTTAATTAAACTTTAGAACTATACAGTCAAAGAGATCTTAAAAAATGGAATACAAGCCACCAGGCATCAGAATTCAATTGAGATGAATGCATTAGGACCAAGATAAGCAAAAGTCAAAAAATAAGCCAAGATACAAAGTGATCAAACTTAAACCAAAGCAGGCTATCAAGGTTACCGTATGTCCCAAAACTTTAGACCTCCATGTCCAGCAGTAAGAACAACATTTGCACTCTCCATGTCACTGAATCCAACAACAGAGTTTTATTTACAGCAATCAGCAAGCGTCACAGTATTAAACATACAGGTTGGAAGAGTACATCAACAATATTGATAACTACACCACTAGCATATTCTAGTCTCTTTTATGCTACTCAAGCATCCCTTGAAAGGAGTTTGCATCTGGTTGACTGCCAAAAAGAACTGTCTAAAAAAGTAGTTCCAAATCATTAGCAATCCCTAGTCCAGCAGAGGATAGATAGCCCATAATTTTAAAAAAAAAAAAAACATGAAGAAGAAGAAGAAGATAGATGCTATTTCTACAAAAGGCCGGACCCTTTGCATTTTAACCACCAAATTTCCAAAAGATACTACTTCTGAACAGAAGAAAGCATCGCTAAATATATAGCTATATAAAATTTTAGTCAATTGGAAATGGAACACTGAACATATCACTCACCTTCCAGATGGGGCCCATGCAACCGATCTAATTGGAACTGTATCTGCACTAAAACAAAGTAGAGGTCTTGTATCTGCATAATTACAAAATGAGAAATAAAATTCAACTGTTAATTTGATGCACCATAATCCAAGCCTTCTATAAACCAGATCAGCAGAATAACAAAAAAAACTTGACTAATATATTGCCAATACCTGTAGGTGAACCACTTGCAGAGAACTTCCACAAAGCAACCTAACATAAACTATGTTAGTTCTGATACCAAATAAATTCAAAACTGTGAGTAAAAGATAATCTTATTCATTGAAATGATAATCATAAGACAAATCTAAGAAACTTAGCAGATGCTCAGTCCACATATTAATGCAAAAGAACTTAATTTTTTATTTATAAAAAAAAAAGAACTTAATTCACATACATTCCCTATTAAAATAATATTGATTACTGACTAAATCCGTAAAGAAAAAGAATACTCCTAATCCCATTTATGCAAAAAGCATGATATCAGTTCTCTCAAAGGTCAGAGCAAATAACATATGTTAAATTTTTTATAAAAAAAAGCATACAAAAATAACAAACTGACATTATACCTTTCCATCATGGCACCCAGCTAGTAAGTAATTGTGTGGAGGTGAGGTTGACCACTCAACTGTCAAAGGGATGCTGTATAACAAGTCCGAGCCTCTCTATTAGTGACAAATGAAATAGAATCAAACACACAACAAGACCAACAAAGACAACTGAACGTAGCAAAAGGTTGCAAAACTAAAAGGAAAATTCCACAGCTAGAAGGATAAGCTTGTAGAAGCAGCCAAATAAAACTTTTAATTAGTAAACCATTCAGTTGAACTGTATGTTTGCAAATCAAATTCCTCCACATGGAAGATGTAATATCACTAAGAAGTGAACCCATTTTGCAAGAAATTGGGTGTACAGGTGCATCCAATATATCAGCTTGCCATAAAATAGGACAGGGTGAACACTGAAAAACGTAGCAGAGCCTTTCATTGCTATTGTTCTTTCGCCTGTCCAAACAGAAAATCTATTACTTCCAATTCATCCAACATGAAAACAGCAGCTGGAACATGTCAGCAACTACAGCGGCTTGATGATTTATTTCATGGCTCTATTTAAGCAGGCCAAACCTGGTGCCCTATAATCAACTGTTAATTAACTGACAGGGAGACAAGCTGTATGATGATGGCGATGATGACGGTAATAATAATAATAATAATAATAATAATAATAATAATAATAATAATATACCAATTAAATGAAGAAAAATCACCATCTTCTACCCAAATTTATAGCTAGTTGCAAAGATGTAAAGTAAAAATACTTTTCTTTTACAATGTTCTCCATGTAAGCTAAGAAGCTCTAATAAAAATTATTTTAGGTAATAAAGTCTCACAAGTACATTATTCAACAGCAGTATATGCAATCTTGTTCTTTATTTTTTCCTTTTCTCATGGAAAAAAACCTCTTTCATGTAACACATGCAGAAGGATTCTATCATTCTAAACTGGAAGCAGTCACTAAGAATGTGCCATGCAGTGCACCCCAACAGCAACAACCCAGCCATGCTGCAGTGAAAACTATGATATTGATTGCCTATGCATTAATAGCGACCCATGCTGTAAAATAGCCCAGACACCCACAACACCCACCCCCCCTCGCCTTTAATTTTATTTTTCGTTTTCTTCGTAAGGTAGCAAAGAATATACCTAACTCATCAATATTCTAATAAATGTTCTGTCTCCATCATGTTTTAGAAAACCTAAAGAATTATTGATAAACTTTTCTGCCCCATCATGTTTTAGAATTGATAAGTGTTCTTGTCCATCATGTTTTAGACATTCTAAAGAATTTCTGCAATACTAGAGGACTAGCATAATGTCTTAAAAAGTTTATTACAGAAAAATGATAGACATCCAAATTACCTCTGTACATCACCACATTTTAACTTTGAGCACTTGAAAACTGGCTCCAATTTTACAAAGCGAGGATCGGTACCCTGCTTAGGTGAAGATGAATAAACAATTCTGATCATACTAGGAAGAGGAACCTCCCACCTGCATTGCATTGGTGGAATCGGGAACATAGCATCAACAAACATTGTCAATAATTCACCATAATGAAACATCTAACTAACTAATTGGTATAACCTAATGCAAAAGAGACTCATACGGAACTTGACAAAAAAAAGGATAAAAAGGAAGTAGGGGCGAGCTGCCATATAAAGCTAAGATTCATGATAGTTAGAGGAAAGGAAGGCCCCTAAAATGATACAACAGTCTAATATTTTAATGTTTACCATAGTACTTTTAGTTTTCTAATTTCAAGCCTTTGACATCCACCTTCTGCCCCTCTTGTTTACATACATCTTAGGCGGCCAGTCTTTTTGCAATATTGCATAATTGAATTCTTATTCTTTGTTAATCCTCCATAAAATTCAACCTATCTTTCATCATCTACTTCAACGTTTCACATTACATGATTGTTATTATTAGTATTATTCCAATTATTTCCTTATTTTTGAAACCTCAAAATGAAAAAAAAATCAACATAATTGTTCTTTGGATTATTATCCAATCCACTGCCAGTGGAATGCAAAGACTCCACAAGCAGGGTTGTTTGTTGCAATGTCTCCATTTAACATAATGAACAATGAGTTCTGAAGTGAACCTATACTGTTAAATAATGACATGGAAAAAGCAGAACCCGCTCTAAAGAGTTTTTGCATTCTATTAGTGCTGTATAACATAATGGTCCTTAACTGCTTATTCTTCTATGACTAAGTCCTATACAATTATAGGCAAAAAAGAGACAAAGAAAGTTTTGAACAGAGTCTAAAAAAAACAAAAGCAGATGTCTTACACTTCCAGAGATCCATTTCCCAGTAAGACAGCAAGATAGCCCATCCGATGATTGCACTCACAACCATTTATGTCATAAGGCTGCCATTTTACATCCCAAGCAACTTTTCCATTGTGTGCTAGGCAGAGGACAGTTCTTGGCAGTTCAATATCCCTTGGAATGGAAGAACCTGGGGTCTCCAACAAATTACTATCTAAAATATTATTGTGCACCATAGCTTCCTGCCCAGAGTTGTAGTGAATTTGTTGGTTTATTGTAAAAGAAGATCCCGTTCCTTCATTTTGAGTCAATAATGGGAGACATTTACCATCACTATTAGTTTTTGTGCACGCCTTACTTTTCAATTTTCTACTCTGCACAGAAGTCGTAGGGGTTGCATCAGACATAAATGCTGTCTCTTTGTCACCTCTTTCTTTTTCATGATGGTTCTTATTTGGAGCATTTTCCTGTGTATTTCCAAGAGCAGTGTCTATAGCAACTGGCTCAAAAGAACCTTCTGGGTACTGAACAGCAAGAGGCTGGAAAGACTGTTCATTCTGATCATCATGAAGAGATTCACCAATTGGTTTCTTTCTAGGCCTACCTTTTGGCCTCTTAACCTGATCTGGTTGAGATTCATCGATTGGATTCTTTCTAGGTCTTCCTCTAGGCCTCTTTGATGGGCTCTCCTCCATGGCTTCTGTATTTTGAGATCTCCATTTTGGTTTTTTCTTTGAAAGAGGAGCCTCTTCCTCCTTCACCCCAACATTTAGCATACACCATATTTGAATGATGCCTCTACCAGTAAGTGGGGTACCTATCTTGTGATAATAAGAATCAGCAGGATGAGCAGCGACAGCGATGAACTGGGAAAAGCAAGGCATAAGAAAAGAAGATGTCACAACAAGGACAGTCTCACAAGATTGCGGCATTACGATTGTCATAGTTATTGTTTAAAATCCTGCTAATTAAGCACACAGGCAACATTTAAACCATTATTTAAGAACGAATTTAGGCTTTTGTCTCATTCATTTGAAATATCCCAGTAAATGAGGTTTAGGCTAATAATATGAAGCCTGAGAACAAAACATTTTGATACAGAAGCAAATTGAAGCTCAAATGCACACACACACACACACACACATACAAAAGAAAAAAAAAGGTTCCCAGAAGAAGGTTAGGGATTGAGGGGAGAATGGGGAACTACCTCACATTTGACAGTACTGTTAGGATTCTCATGAACTCTAGGACACCAATCTAATGCCCAAACAGACCCTCCAACATACATCACGAAGTCCTTGCTGCAAGTAGATCGAACTTTAATCATGTTATTCAATAAATGTATATGACAGACCTCATTTGCAATGGTGTTGTAATACAGGCTTCAATTCTAAATTTACTTTCACAAACAAAATATTTGGTTGCCTATACATGGATCTTCAACAAAAGGAACAAAAGACCCAAGTTCTAACCAAGTAACATGTCTATGCATCACAAATGAACAAGAGCAAACACCATCTGTAACATGTTGTCTGTAAAAGTTAAAAACTTAAAAAGGAAAGAAAAAAAGAGGAAAGACTCCTGTAAAATAGCAGAAATTCTAACAGTTGATTAACTTTGCATTTATGCTGGTCAAGAATGAAACTAAAACTACACCATCCTTATCACCTAAGGTAAACCCATAATACTGGAAACTAGTATTAAGCAAACCAAAATCCAATCTTACCAGGATTCTGGAGATGCTTTGTTTCCATTTAGTCCTTCCTGTTGCTACCATCAGCAAAACAAACAAACAAAAACAACTGTTAAAAAAATATTATGCCATAGAGTAATAACTATTCCAGAAATTTTATGCTGTGATTGAAGATTCCCTGAAGTGGAGGATCCAGAAAACAAGATTTTCTTTCACCTTGAGAACAGTTGCTGATGAAAATTGAGGTAACTGTATGCCATCAGAAACATCTTTACCCTGTGAGTCTCCTACTTCACTAGCAAACTTAATGATCCTCGGTTCATAATTGAAATGCCTCCATTCCCTAAAAGCATGTTCAATAGTAAATTAAAAACATGTAGATGTAAACTTTATATTAAACAGATAAAGCTAAAAATAAAAAATAAACAAACCAAACTTATATCAGTCAAGTCAATTCAATCACTGCTGCTCAAAAATTGGTTTGAAACATATGGAAGTTCTAAATGCACAAAGATAAGCATAAATTTACCTTAAGAAAGTGATTGAAGAAGAGAATCGCTGAATATCAGTTTCATTAGGACCATCACTCTCAGGCTCTTCACAAAGCTTAGAGATTGTATCCATCGCCCTAAAATGATTCTCTATTGAACAATCAAATATAGAGACCCTAACTCCTGGCCTGCCTTTTAAGGGTTCTTCCATTGTCTCTTTCTCTTTCTCTTTTATCCACAACATCACAACACATCTATTGTCAACCACTCAAATACAAGGCATATAATGCTAAAGAATTGATTATAAGAAATAGCACATAAACTAAAATCTAATGCTAAATTTGGTACTTGAAATTTCAAAAAGAATTAATTAAAAAAAGATTTGTTTGGTGTGGTACCTTAACTATAATGCAAAGCATTGTTATGGAGATGATATGCAGGAGCCTAACTCTGATAGGCAATAAACAATATAGTTTGATGTTGAATTTTGAGCAAATTACAAAGAACTCCTTGAGTTTTGACTATAATTACATTCAAGGACATTAATTTTGAAAAACTACATCCTGCCCCAATTGTGTTAACGATGGTAACAGAATGTTGGTAATTACTAAGATGCATATTTAAGCTGTAATATAAATTGCCGTTCAACAAATTAAGAGTCTTTAGCTTAGGGGAAAAAAAGATTGAAGTGTCTACTCCATCTGTTTCCCCAGCTTCCTTGACAGCTATCTCTCTCCATAGTCCATTAGTTCCTCAGTGTTGTGTGTGTGTGTGTGTGTGTGTGTATAAGTAAGACTTAGAGTGCCCAACATTAACCTAATAGAAACAACCCAAAAATAAAATTAAGATTCCAAAACCAATAAGCCCCCACTAAACTCCAAACTCCCATAAAAATTGAATCCCATCACCAAGTAGCACTAGCATGGCAGCCCACAGACTTGACATAGGGTAGTGCAGCTTTCAAAAGAGATTTAAAGTGGCAATCTCTCGAGCACCACACGTGCATAAATAAACAATAACCAGTTTTGGGCACAGGAGTGTTAGAATTCTGCCTCAAACAACCGAAACATCCAAAAATGGATTCCACAACTTTAATTCAATAAAGGGAAAAGAGAACTACTGCTAATTGCAGACTTGCCTAGTAAATAAACAAAGAGAGTTTCTAAGGAACTGCCTCTGGTGTTTTCTTTTCATGGCAAATGGAGGATTTTGGCGTTGGTTATGCTGGGTGGGTATAGCATTTTAGTCTTTTTATAATTTTTGTTGCCATTGATATTCTCTCCAAGCAAACACCAACTCTTTCCTCCTTCTTGGTTGGCTTTTTGGCTTTCAAAAAAGTTAAGGTCTTGCTAACTGAAGTGGTGGCCAACTCACTAACTTGTGATTTAAAAATTTGGGATCTTCCGTACTTGGCTTCAGTTTTGTTAGAGGTAACAGGAGCTATGTTTTCTCCGAACAATTCTATCAAACACTTAGCCACAGAATTGTTTAATCTCAGCATCTTGCAATGTAAAATGTTTTTTCTTTTGGGGGGCGAAATGTAGGTTTTCTAAACTAGTGTCATTGAGTGCAATTATGGTCCAAAAACTTAAAGGATTTTACGTAATTTACTCTTTAATTTTAAACAAAATTAGTTTAATATGCAACATCAAATTCAATGCTAATTATTCTGGCCAAAAATACATTATTCAATGATAACTACAACGCATTAACTTAAAAGTTATCAAAACGTTTTAGCTCCACCTTTTCCCTCTTAACCAAGCAGAAGAAAATAAATAAATGAATAAAACCTATGAATTTCATTTATTTTAACTTCAAATTTTCAATGATCCAAACATAGCAGTAGCCGAGACCAAGACTGAGAGGTATCAATTTTGTTTGACAAATCAAGACTGTAAACGATTAAACGATGAATTGGAAAACCAGGACTCCAATTTCAACGAGAAAGAAAGGAACCAGAGACTAGAAAAAAAATCCAAAAATCTAAATCACCTGAGAAACGGGCGAGAGAGCTTTCCGCAAGGCACGAACCCGACTTGCCCCGGCCACTGGGCTTGTAGTGGAATTTCTGTTAGGAGATAGAAATGCAACGAGAAAAGAAAATGGAGGGAAAATCGTGACTTCTTTTTGAAATGCGGGAAGCTTCTTCTTTCTTTTGTTAGGGTTTTCAGATTCGAACCCAAGACCGATTGTGGCTCTCCTTTCTTTCGACGCAGCCAAATTTTATAATAGTCTTCTAGTCCCCAAACTTATAGCTAATATGCAGCAGAGTCCTTGAACTAAAACTTTTACTTCAATTAGATACCTGAAATGTTGAATTAGTTTTGGATGGCACTCCCGAATATTTTACTTTTTTTGAAATGTTCAATTGAGCACTGTAACAATTAGAAGGGCAACGATGATGGGTTTGTTGAAGAAAACAAAACCAAAAAAAAAAGCTTAAATGAAATTCTCAAAGTTAAAAAATATCTTTAAATTCTTCAAAATAAATTTAAATGCATCACGATATATGTATGTAGTAAAGAATTTTAAAAACTTGAATTTTTTTTTTAAAAAAGTCGCATGCAAATTTTTGAAATTAAATCATCTTCTAACAAGTATACAGTAATATATACTTGGTATTACCATAAAATTCAATTTGAGCATTTGGTCGCGAGAATGATTGCATAAATTGAATTAGCCATGCCTTTCTCTTAAAAACAAGGTAGGCTTCTCTTTTTATCTTATAAGTTGTACGCTTTCATGTAGAGGTTTGAATGTGAGATTGATATACTAAAGTCTATCACTAAGAATGTGCTACTTACCCTCTTTTTAAAAGGAAAGCTTAGATAATTGAAGGAACCATAAAAGATAACTGAATTGGCTTTACGATTTCCTGACATATAAGAGTATATATTGTTATGTAAGAGACTTCTCACTATCATGTAAATTTCATAACATATTCTTTTTGTATCCTTGCTCCTAAAAGTATGATAGAATTCCTCCATTGCTAAGATAGGAAGACGATCATTGCTATTAGAAGAAATACTAAGATATGGTGGCTTTGGAAAAGAGGTTTTTCATTTTGGTCATGTTACTTTTTTATGCTATCTATCTCATGATGATTTTACCTGTTTAGGGTTTACATAAATATTATTCACAGCTTTGTTTTTTGTTAGTAACCAGCCTTAATTAATAAACATAATCCTGGTTGGGACAGGTTCTTCTTTGCTCTTCCCGTGACAGCTATAGTCAGTGCAAGCAGAGCAAATGTTGTTAGTTTTGATCAGAATTACCACATTACATGGGGAAACTCCCATGCAACATCTCTAAACAAAGGAAGAGAAATTCATATTTTAATGGATAATGTTTCAGGTTTGGTATATCAAAACAATTAGTAATGTTTACCATTTTGTATGTATATGCGCATATATAAAAATTAGTATTATGGTTAATGCAGGGCCCAAGTTCCAATCCAACGCGAAATATCCTTCAGGGTTTTTCCAAATGAACATAAAGATACCTAACAAGGATTCTACAGGAGTTGTCACAGCATTTTATGTATAATATTTTTCTTTGTTTTTTTATTTTAAAAAAAACTTAATTCCTATCTGCTCTCACATGCAATTACAGTATTATTATGTAATGAAAATTTTGGTGGGTTGATGGCATGCAGTTGATAGATAACAAAAGAGAAGGAGACCATGATGAGCTTGATTTTGAGTTTTTGGGCAGCAAGGGGCAACCTTATACATTGTAAATAAATGTTTTCGCTAATGATAGAGGAGGCAGAGAGGAAAGGTAATCATCTTTGGTTTGACCCCACTGCTGACTTTCATACATATGGAATTCTTTGGAATCATCATCAAATAGTGTAAGTAAAACTAATCTCTTTCAAAGTTCTGAATTACAACATGGCTTGGAAGTTCATTAATTGGTCTATGTTCTGTGCATGGTTCATGGATGGAAACATCTAAGGTTTTATGTTGCTTACATTTACCCAATTTGTTTTTCTCTTTTAAGGTTTTATGTGGACAACACACCCATTAGAGTTTCCATGAACATTTCAAATATTGGAGTGAATTATCCATCGCAAACATTAGTAATTCAAGCAAGCATATGGGATGGAGAAGGTTGGGCATCAAATGGAAGAAAAATCGATTGGAGTCAACAACCTTTCACCGCTAGTTTTCAAGGATTTAACGTGGATGGGTGTCAATCATTGGAGAACAGCAACAAGGAGCAATGCTATGATTCCAATTTGTGGTGGAATGGGAATATATATTGAGGACTAGACCAGGCTTAGCAAAAAGCAGTAGAGGATGCAAGAACCGAATATATGTTTCAAGATTAGTGTTCTTCGAAAGAAGGGAAATATGAACATAAAGAATGCCAAATCAATACATTTTTTTATTAATAAAAATGTAGACACAAAGAAGTTGTTGCTTGCACTGCATTGCAAAGTGAAGTTAATCGTTATCCTCAAAGACCCAACTGTGTGTTTATTATTTATCATTATCAAATTACAAAGATGAAGCTTCCTCTCTCTACCTTTCATTTGCATTCCAATATGAAAGTATGGCTCCAATTTGCTTATTTCATTACGCAAAAAAGTTGGGCAAAAATTCCAATTCAATGAAATTAAATTGATATGATTGCCGTGCCAGCTTATAGTTTGTCTTAATTTGATGCCATGCCATATGCAATTCTATTTTATTTGTCTTGTCTCATACATGCAATCATATATACGTGAAGAATTCAACTTTCTTTCTTTCTTTGTTTTTTTTTTTTTGGTGGTTTAAG